CTTCGCAGTGTTCAAAAGGTCTGTGTGACCAAATTCAGATCTGTCCTTCCGTTTATCTGTCCTCGGAGCTATATAGAAAAAGCACCTGAGGCACCTCACAGGGTGGTCGAGATCGACATCTAGCATTTCTGTCCAACGACATGAACAGATGCAACTGCGCCCAGAAGTGCTGGAGATACAACAGTCCTTGAAGTTTGTCAAGTCTTTGTGAACCATGAAGGGTGGTGGAAAATGATTTGCGCTCCTACTGCAATATGATGCACTACAGACGCGAACATTTCGCGTGAGGATTACTCTGAGCGCATCCGCGCTGCACAACTTCAAGCACGCTATGAGCAGCGGCTGAAGTCCAAGGCAAACGGCCCAAAGCTTGCCATGCTTGCACGTCTTGGTGCGAGTGAAAGATCTTCGTTGCAGATACCTGTGGAGGATCAAGAGCTCCGACATCTTCAAGAACGACTGAATCGACAGGAGGATCAGACGGCCAAAATGCAGGTTCGTGGGCTGCGCTGGTACAATTGGAGGAATGCTTGCTAACTCGTGCATCTCCGTTACAGGCAGAGTTTGAGCGCGATCGGCAGGGTTTGTTGTACAATCTCAATCAGATCCTTTGCTGCAGTCATTGGCCGCGTCACCCTGTGAGTCTCGTATGCCACGCAACGGGGCTTACCGGGCGAGGCTGTCCCACGCTGTGGCCACTGAACGGAAGGGCCAGACACAGCCGCTCAGCGGATCCAAACGTATGGTGCTCTTGCCTGGCTGTGACTTTTTTCTCAGGTGGGGAGAGCGACCCAAGAAGCGAGAGAAAGACGCCGTGCCCCCAGCAATCGATTATTTGGCTTGAATTCCTGAGAGGGTTCAAGATAGGGGCATTGTCCGAGGTGCCAAGCTCTGAGGTGCGCCCTTGGTGGCCAGCTTGCCTTTCTCGTGACTCTCAGACCTGTCAGGGACCCAAGCCTGAGCGTCGGGAAGGCCTGTTGCCTTGGAGCCGAAGCAAATGTTTTCTTGCTTGACCCAATGAGCGCCAGGCGTAGCAGCTGCCCCACGGGCACGACTTCACGGAAGCCACAAGGACGCCAAGACCCCTTCAATTGGCGAGAGAAAACACAAAGCAACATCTCAAAATGCAGGAGAGCATCCGCCAGGAGCCTTCAGGAGTGGGCAGCGGCAGCGGTCTGCTTTTCCGTTCCAAGAAGGTTGAAAACTGCTCGTCTTGCAGGAGACAAACGAGACCGAACAGCTGGCGTTTCGAGGCAGCTGGAAACAGCATGGTGGCTCATGTGGGCCTTGTCTCCCTTGCAGGCCTCCCGCGACTGGGACGCTGTGGAGTGGTGACCGTTTCGAAAAGTATGCGCGGCAAACGCCTGTAGCTCAACCGGCCGCACATTCTTGATGATAAGACGTTTGTGTTGAGGCCGGGGGCCTTTGAGCTGAGGGAGAAGGCTTGTTGTCAATTCGCGAAAAGCAACAGCCAAAAGCTTCAGAGCTGGGCGAGCTCAGGCAGATGGTTCTGGGTGGACTTTGAGGTCTCTACGCACTCTCTTAAAATTCTGCGTACTGCTGATCTGAGCAGTGAAGGCTTCGCTTCGAGGATTTAAGCCCGCCTCTAAACGACGAGGGCATGCAGGCTCGAGCCAAGTCGCATCAAGTCGCGTCAGCAACGAATTGTGGCGGACACTGAAGCCAGGTCTTCTGCCGATGGCTCCACCAATCGATGCAGAGGACCTCCGTTACCCCTCATACTTCGGGGTTCCTCGTTAAGAGATGTGAGGATGCGCGAAGACAAGGGTCTGCGCTCCATGCGCATGGTTGAGGCTGAGGCTCGTTGCTCAAAGCATAGTCTCGGTTCATGACTGTCTGTGGCCTAAAACAGGTCTCCTTCGCCTGGAACTACATGGGTGATGAGGCTGTTGGACGCCTGCTGCAGGTCGGTTTCATGCTGCAGACTAGCAATGAGCAGATGGTTTGACTTGAGTTTTTTCTGGGAGGCGCTCCAACGGTCGGAGCTCCGCGTGTCTTCCTTGAACTTCAGCGGCAACGGCCTGGGGCCAGCCGGCGCCTCTCAGATCGGCGACTTCGTTCAGGCCGCTGGGCTGGGTGGGGGGAGAGGGGGGGTTGGGGGGGTTTAGGGGTTTTGTGGATGGTTTCTGGAGGCCCAACTTAAGCCAATCTCCGACTGCAGGAGGCTAGCTTCGGAGTCCGGGAGATCTCCTTGTCCTACAACCTCCTTGACGAGGCCGCTTTGCAGCTTTGCAGCTTTGCATGCCCAGTAAGTCAGGTGTCCATCATTCTTCCAAGGCAGTGGTGATGGACCTGCTGGCCATGTTCGTCGACCATGGCAAATACCCATTGCGACGAAATGGCAAGGCAAGGGCTTCCCAGGGGCTCATTTTCTCCAACTCTCACTTTTCGTCGCGGCTTGTGCCACCCCGCACGGATGGTGCCAGGGCACTCAGGGAGGGTCGCCGGTCTGGTTTGTTAAATTGCCTCTTGACGTCATGTTATTTGATGTGCTCAATCTATGCAAAACGTTCGGCGTGTAGGAGACCTTCCTTTCGCTGTCAGGCCGATCCTGTTAAGCTTATGCTAAGCAACAATGGCCTCCATACCTCCAAGCTTCTGCCGCAGACCTGGCTTGAACCCTACGGCTGCTACGAGGGCGTGTGGTGTTGGCCTAGGAAGAGGATCGGAGCAATGGGGCTGTCCTTACAATCCAACAGGGCCCGTTCGGCGAGGCGCGCATCTCACAAGTCATGGCTCAGCCACCACACCTCTGCCCCGGCTCAGGGAATGGCTTGTGCTAAAGAACGGCGTGGACTTGCTTAGGCTTCCGGATTTTGAGATGCAGGACGCGCATGCTGTGTGTGAGAGCGTTGCACGCTGATATCAAAGCTGGTTGGAAGCCAGTGGAGCATTGGGAAAGATGGAAAAAGCTGCAGGAGCAAATGCAAGAACTTGGCTCGGACAGTGAGCACCGTGAGCATCTTGACTGGGCACCAGACCGCCTCTCTGGCCTGTCAGGGATGTGGCTTCGCTGCATTCAAACCGCGGGACAGCTGTCATCCCCCTTGCGATGTATGTAGTGGGTGCCCGAATTTCACATCGGGGGGTTAGCTGGCATACGGATATTTCTTTTTGGGGGAGGGCATTCTAAATTGGAGGAAGACCACCATGATGAACTAGACGGGAAACCAAATGTTCTCACTGAAAATCCTTCGGATGCCTTTTTTTCCAGGGGGTGAAGCGATTGGATCTAAGGAAGCTGGAGAGAACCAAGCCCCTTCCTCGGCCAACTCCGAAGAGCGCGGTGGCCGCAGTTGCAAGGACGGATCACTGAATGGCTTGCCAACGCTCAACATCAGTGAGCTACAGCTAGTTTGAGTGAGCAGGCCCGATGCTTTGCGAGCTGCATCGAGCCCCACAAGTGGATTTGGCGTACCCGAGCAGGCCGTTCTAGAAAAGCATCGTGTTTGCTCTTGCCAATCCACTGTGACATGCCAGACGCCAGAGCCCGATGTGCAGATGCAGACGGCACCAAAGCAGGCTGGGAGCTGTGGCGGAGCCATGGATTGACTTTCACAAGACTAGCAACCCTGTGCAGGAGGAGAAGGAGAAGGAGCCCTTCCGCCAGCAGCTTCTGGGCTGAGTCTGCTTAGAGCGACCCTCCCATCAATCTGGCAAAGCAAAATGGCCTCTGAGGAAGCCAAGCACCATCCGCTTGCAGCACCCAACTTAGCTCATAGCCCGCATCTGAAGTCGGCGGGGCCCCAAACGGGTGACCAGGCATCGCTCGAAGCTGGGCTTGGACAAAGCCGGCAGGCATCAGAATGAGCAAAAACGACTCCTAAGAGAGAATATTCTCAGGTCACTGAGACTCATTTAAAGCCGACCTGGCAGGCATTATCGAAATCGACTGAGGCCCAGCCAAACCTTGACGCGTTGAGTTCGGACTCTCATTGCTGTTGGAACGCTGGAACGCCAGGAATGGTGCTGCTGGTCATCGTATCGAGGTAGCGTCTTGCCGTTGCGCATGCTGCGCTGGATACGCGGACGGGCAGAACAGGAGCATCCCAATGAGGATGACGAAGACGATGCGGTTTTGGTATTATTCTTAGGAAAGCATTTGCTCATGGTATGGTGGGCTGAGCGAGAAGCCGACCAGGTTCCTGAGACCAAAGAGGGCTTCCAGCTCAGTGCAGGTTGCTGCAGAAACTGTCCATGGACAGACTTCGCTTCTTGAGATTGATTTCGAAGACGATCTCGGAACATACCTGTTGCTGTTGTCGCATTCTTGAGCAATGAGGGTGATGTCATGCTGAGATCCCGAAGCTGACCAGCCGATTGCGAAGCCAGTGCGCGCCTAAGATATGAGGTGGACAGAACTATCAACCATACCTGATGTTACTACGCTGCCCAGGCAGTTCGCATCACCGCACCCCCGAAGATTTTGCAGTCGCATGGCATCGAAACTTTTTCTGCCCAATCGATGTGAGCAAGTTTGCTCGCTTGGCCTTGCACCTTCGCGGTGAAACCAGGAGAGGGAATGCCGTGATGTCCTTTGCAGGACCTGCAAAACAAGGTGCGGCATGCAGCTGCCTGCACAAGTAAGCAAGCCGCTCAGTGCAGACAGCTTATTTGGTTTAAACAGCTGTCTCTAAGAGGACCCGCATTGAAGCGTTGCTTCGGCTCAATTGAACTTCTCAGAAGCCCACGGGGTGTATCGGGGCGGGACTGGACAGGCGGAGTCCACCCTGACGCCAGCAGCTCCCTCGCTGGAAGCTCGGAGATCAGGGGCTTGTTCTGGATTGCTTGAAGCCCACTTGGCAGGTTTCGGTAGATTCGTGATCGGGGAGCATGAATCATCCTGAGTCAAGTTGAGCGAGCCTTTAAAGGCACTGGGTTTAATGGCACTCTGATGACCGCAGCCGGACGAAGCTTAGAGGGACGAGAGCTGTGCTTTGTAAATAGCATCTTTGCAGTCTTTGCTTTTTTTTTACAGTCCAATACAGCAGTAAGTTTGAACCTCCAAGCTTCGAGTCTTCCAACTGCTCTGTATGGCCTGATTGGTCCTGCAAGGTCGTTCTGAAGTAGCCAATGCACTCTGTAGCTCCAATTAGACATCTCTTCGCCGTGCGGTGTCCTCAGCACGTGCCGATGGCAGAACCTTAGCTGGTCACGTGACGCGGTGCTTCCATATCGTGGCCACGAAAAAGACACGTTGCACAACAGACCTTTGACTTGGCCGTCCACTTTCGTGTTAAGCCCCCACGATCGTACAACGTAATCGAGATGTCTGATGGCAGGAGTCCTTTCGCAAAGACCAGGCTACGTCGCTTCAGGACTCCTCAAGCTGTGGTGATCCTCTGGTACTGACATTCAGATCCTGCTCGACATACCCCTCTGGCATACGCCTGTAGCAATCCAGGCGGCCAGGTGAGGTGAATCTCAGAGTCCCGGCGGGCCCCACTGGATGGGATGGGTTGGTGTGATTGTGATTAGGTACGATGGCCAGGGGTCAGCTGCTTTTTGCGCAACTGGTGAATGACGAGAGGTGAACTTCTGTTGGTGCATGTGAGATGCAACATGATCAAGACGACTTTCAAATTATTCACTTCGAGCATCCCCACCCTAAAGCCGTTATTGCACAAGAAGTGTAACGTTTCCTTCCTTGCAGCACTGCAAATGCGCTGCATGCATATTGATATTTTGCTGTTGGGCACTCCGGGGATACTTTGCGCTTGGGCACTGCAGGGATACTCTTCGGTTGGGCCCTGCTGGGATATTTGGTGGTTGGACACTGCAAGGGTACTCTGCAATTGGGCACTGCAGGGATACTTTGCGGGGCACTGCAAGGATACTCAGTGGTTGAGCACTGCAGGGATACTTTGCGGTTGGGCAGTGTAAGGATACTCTGCGGGTGGGTACTGCAGGGATACTCTGCGGTTGGGCACTGCAGGGATACGTGGTGGTTGGGCACTGCAGGGATACTTGGTGGCTGGGCACTGCAAGGATACTCTGCATTTCGGCACTGCAGGGCTACTTTGCGGTTGGGCACATCCGTTTCGCATTGCAAGGATTTTCATTGGTTGGGCACTGCAGGGATACTTGGTGGTTGGGCGCTGCAGGGATACTCATTGGTTGGGCACTGCAGGGATAGCTGGGCACTGCAGGGATACTTGGTGGTTGGTCACTAAAGTCAACTTCCAGTCGGGCGAGGACAACATCTACTTTAAAATCTAACAACCCCACTGCAGATGTTTCCTAACACGGCTGCCAGGAGCACAGGTTGATCTAGAGACTCCGTAATGCCTAGAGCAGGCCTTTTATTCATGACCCCACTGCAAGGGTGGGGAACGACAAATTTCCAGGCTTGCTGCCGGAAGTCAAGGACGGCAGCAGGTGTCCTCTATATTCTGGCAAGATCTTGAAGGCTTAGCAGGGCTGCCTTTTGTGCGAGCCTCTTTGGTGGAGAGAAGTGGAGAGAAGACCGACAGAGCTTGTGCTGCACTGCAGCATTTGCAGCCCTCACTGGTGACGATACCGTAGCCAACCCTTAGCGCATTTTCGCGGTTGCTGACAGCCGCGACAACGAGTGCCATGTCGGCTGCTTCCAGGCTTTTCGGGCTTCTCGCGGGCACCGGAGTTTTCTGGTCTCTTGCCACCGTTGTGGCAGCAGAAACCCCTTCGTCGTGTTCCACGGAGGGATGCGAGGAGGACGAGGCTGGAGCGCGTACTTGAACCCTTGCCTTTCCCACCACGGCTTATCCTCGTGTAACACCAGATTGAAGTTTGAAGCATGAAAGTGGGGATCCTCCCTTGTCTTCTGTGGATGCGAGCCGCAATGTGACCTGAGCAGGATCGCAGCCCCAGCAAATGAACCGGACACTGACACTCAAAGGCTTTTGTTGCTCA